TACTGCTTTATAAAACCATTGTACACCAAACTGCTTTATAAAACCATTGTACATCATACTGCTTTATAAATCCATTGTACATTTACTGTTTTATAAAACCATTGTATACCAAACTGTTTTATAAAACCATTGTACACCAAACTACTTTATAAAACCATTGTACAACATACTGCTTTATAAAACCATTGTACACCATACTGCTTTATAAAACCATTGTACACCAAACTGCTTTATAAAACCATTGTACATCATACTGCTTTATAAATCCATTGTACATTTACTGTTTTATAAAACCATTGTATACCAAACTGTTTTATAAAACCATTGTACACCAAACTACTTTATAAAACCATTGTACAACATACTGCTTTATAAAACCATTGTACATCATACTGCTTTATAAAACCATTGTACATCATCCTGTTAAAAAATATTGTGGAATTGTTTGTGTTTTTTGCATTGAGCAGACTATTGTTGATTTACTCAAATATGTAATCTTTCATTTTGATTACAAAATTTGAGTTTATAATGCATCATCCAATGTGTATCAAGTTTTTTCTTCTTTAGAAACATAAGGTTTAGAGTCATGATATTAGGTCTGTCGAGATCAAGAACTATCAAATTTTCAAATCAATGATCTTTGTATCTTTGAATATTACAGGAGTCAAATATGTAAAAATTTGAAAAAAAATTCTTCTGAAGAAATATAATGCATAGTTTCATATTATTTATCTGTGGTTTGCTAGAGTAGAGAGATTTCAGAAGAATGGCCTTGACCTGATTTCAAGATCACATAAGTAAAATGTCTAAATATTTTAAACAACTTATTATAAATGACGAGGAATCCTAAAGTGATGATAATTGGTATGTAGCGTAATCGGACAAGGACTATCATATCTGTTCAAATAAATGGCCTTGATGTACTCTTAAGGTCACAAACATGAAAAGTGTTTAAAAACTTCCAAAGACCTACAATGCCTTTACACAGTTTTTCAATACACCTTCTGTGTTTCAATGTGTGTATACATGTATCTTACATGATGCATTCTCTACAGATCTCTTGTTTAAGCTAATTATCACAATTTTTCATACCAATTCACTCATTTAATGTTCCATTATAATCTTCTCTGAGTGTTTGCTAAAATAACCACATATAAACTTTAAGCACCCATTATATACTATATCACAGATGAAGGAACATATAAGTCACAGGGCACTGTTTTTCAAATTGCCAAATTTGCCATGTATATTATTTAAGTCAATCAATTAATTAACTTGTTGACTGGTCTTACAAGACAATCTTTCTTAGGGTGACACATTCACTAAACAAATATGTTTCTGTTTCACAATTTGATTTCAATTACCTGCAATTGTTTTCTTTAGTTCTCTAGATGATAAAGGGACTTGTTTGAGTAAAATAAGAGCTGATGGTTTCAATGTTAATTGAAGTATATTTTCTATAGTCATAAAAGAATTTAAGTCTATCTGTGAAGATGGGGGTATTTTTACATGAAATACAGTATTTGATGCCCTTATATTTATAACAAATGCTGAAACAGGCTACCTTCTTGGTTGGAAAAATATTGATTTTCATATTGAAAGTTCTTAATGCACTTCATGGTGTCCTTGAATATTTTAATGGTGGTATTAATATCCTCAAGGAATTTCTGAACGTACCTGACAAATTATTGATTTTGTTTTTGTGATATTGTAAGCTGATTTTCTCTTTATCTATTGATTGATTTTCTCAATTTTTTATACCATAAAGTTTTACTTGAGAAGAGTATGACACTTTAAGGTCATTTGAACACTTTCAAGTTCTCTTTTTAAAACAAGATCAATACATATGAGTGACATGTTTAAATTATGCAAACACCTAAAATGGTTACTATTCAGGTTTTATTTAATAATAAATTATCTTCTGAGACGGAAGGAACATTTCTTACCTGGGGTATGTCTAAATGTTTTATTATTTTGTTGTCTATAAAAGTTGTTAAGTTGTTTTTGTATTGTTATAAGCTAGAAGAAAGCAATTAATTTAATTTTTAACATAATTAAAAAGTAAAAAACAAAAAACTTGAATTTTATTAACTGTAAGTGTAAAAAGAACTGTATAAAACTTATGAATATTTCTTTGTCATCTAAAACTGATTGATTTATCTCCCCTCTCTTTACAGTTCCTTACTGTAAGTAATTCCTCGCCCACTTTTCTTGTTAAGAAATGTGAATCCACTCTCCCATGTAAAGTAATGTGAATCCACTCGCCGTTGTTAAGTAATGTGAATCCACTCTCTGTTGTTATGTAATGTGAATCCAATCTCCCTTGTTAAGTAATGGGAATCCACTCTCTGTTGTTATGTAATGTAATCCACCCTCTGTTGTTATGTAATGTGAATCCACTGTCCCTTGTTGCACACATATTAATGTGAATCATTCGTCAACAAAAAGGTTCAATCTGCTTCATATCTGCATTCGTTTGCATTCACTTTGTCCTTTTCATTGGTCATCCTGTCAAATTCATGGTCTACATCTTCACTTCTCACTGACCAGTCCATAGTGTCATGTGACATAAGTATGTTATGATGTCACCTCCAAATAAGCTAATTTTACCTAGTTGAGCTCCATAACTAATTAAACTATTTTTGGTAGTCTTGACTTTTTTGTACATGTATAGTTGGATTTTGGTCAGGTGCAATGTGTCATGCACTATAGTTAGTAGGTTAAAACTGACCATTGGTCAATTGTTGATCAATTGTCAATTTGATCCTATTGACCATGGTGCTGGATACCACATCATATTGGTCAATATTTGCTGATCTGTATATCTATTGAAGTGTCATATAACGGCCTAATGACCCAGTCTGGTGTGGGATGGGAAGTAGTGACCAGTCAGTTAGGACACTAAATCAGGACACCACATACCATGTTTATTTTACCACTATATCATAAGTAATAAAAGTTGTAATCGTAAAAGGAGGACCAGTTTCAAATAGGGCTTTACTTCAAAACTAAATTGTGATTCTACAGGTCCTGGGTACCCATACTCCTAGAATAAGATGCAGATATGTGGAAGTACCATGTATAATTCGCAATATTGACAAACTGTGATGATAAATCTTCATGTGTGATTAGTAAGGATATGAGCTTGCAGGACGAATCACGAACACAAGGATATAACATACCAAATCAGCAGGATTCTCTATCGAGTATCACAAAGTGTCTTAACAAGGATGACACAACATAAATGAACAGATCTAGGACAGGAATGGCAATGATCTATGGAAACTCAAAAAAATCATTATTTCTCAACTATAGAATACATTGCTTGACTCGCATTACAGTAGAGGATAGAGCTCACTCTACTCGACCAACGATCCAGGATTGACCTACCAAATCAGCCCGAATCTCTACAAACAAATGATCAGAAATTAGCTGTTAATTGCACTACGTACCCTGTGTAGTAGGTGGGCACAAACCAAGTTTATCTACCGTCGTAATCACAAGATCACAACTGACCTGATACCACTAAATTAAACATGGAAAATCGCTGAATGCCAACTTCATGGGTCGACGGTTCTCTTTGCACTGGCAATGTTTGTAATCTTAAAAACACACAGCAATAAATTGGATGGATTATGTGATTGGACAGAACAGGTTTAAGTGTTCATATTAAACAAATCAACAACAATGTGTTGAATTTTTACCAACAGTTACTTTAAAATTAAACATTGTACCATACACAGAACAGTTTGTCGCAGAAAATCACAAAAACTGGATTTATTTAAAACACTTATTCAGGTGTGAATGGAACTGTTACTTCCTGTGATATTTCTGTGATATTTCTGTGATCATAATTAGCACTTTTGCTGTTTATAACAGTCATGAGTAGGGAGTGTCTCCCAGGTAGGTAACAAGTCTTTGATGTCACTGGTTTAATAAATAGTTGATTTTGTGATTTTACGTTTACACAGCTTTTAAATGTTTGATACAATTGTATGTGCTGTTAATGTTGAACTTTGTTAATCTTGATGCTTTCGAAATTAAATTCCTAAATAATGAGATTTCTGGATACTAAAATTGGAATTGTCAATCGTCAGTTCCTGAAATTCAATGTCATCAAATTAAATCACTTTAATCAAGATGTTTTGATTTTAAAAATTAATTCAAGAATTACTTTTCTGGATGAAGGTGAAGAGGAATTATTAATTAAAAGTTGTTCACCTCCTAAATAATGATACAGAATCACTGGTTCCAGGTACAGGTTGATATTGTTCCACGTTAACATAAGAAATGTTGTAATAGTTACCTTGGTTATGGGGATGTTAATGTTTTATGAAAGGTTGATATATTTTTGTATGTGATCAGAGCTTTTGCTAAAGTAAAAACATTGTAAAATGCCTAATTTATGGTTCTTTGGCTCAGTGGTAAGTGTTGTGGACTCTGTTTGGTGGGTCATGTCTATGAATGGTTTGAAGTTTGCCATCACTTAAGATCTATGCATTCACATCATTTGCTTTAGCCTACCTTGCTGTAAAGATATGTACCTACATCATCAATAGACATTGCTGATATTGATGTGTATCTAATGTTTAACACGCTTACTGAAAATTATGATTTCATTTTAGGAGCATTAATAAAAGATTGTTTGATAATTTATATGAGAAATCATACAGTAATACAAAATCACATTGGTAATTAGTTTGGAAAACTATAATATGGCAGATAGTTTAAGAAAAGCTGGCACATTTTACTCTCTATATTGAAAATTGAACCACGCCTTTTTAAACTGAAAAATTTGGTAGAAAGAAAATTATTTAAATTTTTTTATATATTGATATTTATGCACAACACAAGGATTTGAAGCATGTCTTTAGTTTTTCATTCAAACAATTAAATTTTGTCTATTAATTTTGTTAACTTATTTGCATCGACGAGAAACAATCTCTTTCTCAAACATGTTCTTACAGGACTTTTTAGAGTTGACAGTCTATGTGTGAAGATTATTATCTCAGTGACAATGTGTAATTCTAATGTCTCGCTGAGACAGGGTCGATTTGGAGGGTTGACATTCCTTTTGTTTGAAGACCTATCTGTAAACAAATATCTCCCGGTGGATAGGTGATAAAGAAAGATTCCATCTAGACTACTCCGTTACTTAACTGTTGGACCTCTACTTAGTATAAAGAAACACATTTTTTTTTTGAAAATAGATTTAAAATTCAAAATCTTATTTGCAATCTTGGATGAATTGAGTTGTTGTGAGTTTGCTAGACCCAGAGTGTGTTTGTAACATTGTTCTGGTGCAGGTATTGTATTGATATACAGTATTATAGAATGAGATATAGTTTATCTGCAGGTACTGTACATCAAATGTCTTATATATAGTGTTATCACACCTATAGCGCTGAATACTTACTCACAATCACACAACAAATCAATGTTAGGCTTCTTGAATCACTGATCCCTAAATATTCATCTACTGGAAAATCTCCGTAAACCCCAAGAAGTAGAAAATCAATATACATCAGGCCTTTATGAATCTGTTTATTCTGATATTTATCTATTGAACTATTCTGCACGTTGAAACAAGATTTTTCTTATAAGATTAATGCATTAGTAGTTCTCTTTTATTCAGACATTTTGGTTTCTGAAATTACATTCTGGATTTATCGTGCATCGGGAAAGATATAACAGAAACTGTCCCTTTATATGCTATCTTACTTTCTTTTCATTAGAATTAATGATCCCATGAATTTAAAAAAACCCAGAACTATGCAATAAATCAGAGTTACTACAACAGTATCTCAATGCATGCATTGTTATTTTCTCTTACCCTGGACAGGTTTATCAACACTTTTCCCGTTGTGAGATATCCTTGTCTCACCCGTGGGTTGAGACAGGGGATTCCTCTATCTATAACAATATTATGACGTCACGTCAAAAATACGATGACGTCACGTCAACAATGCATTTAGCCTGTAACATTATCATTCCATGGTGTATATGATACACAATGGGAGAACAGGGTAAGAGAAAAAGAATCAATCAGCCCCTTGGGGTAATATTCTTAAGTTGTCAAACATGAAGCTTAAACTTGGTAATTTACATGCAAAAATAATGTAAAAATAAGCACAACTTAAAATAAATCATATTTCAAATCCTGGTGTGACACTATAAGGTTAGCCATATCTAACCAAATGGACACTTTCCCTTTTTTTCTGTCTTAATTAAGAATCAAGTCCCTTCACCATAATCTACATAGTTGTCAGAAAAATGGTCTGTTCTGGTTATGTTGTTCTAAGAATATGATACGTTCTGAGAGCACAGGGCTCTTACTACAAACATTAAATGAATCATTGAGTTTGCTACGTTGTAGTATAATGATAATCATGTCTACTTAAACTCTAAAATTCACTACAAATATTTATTAACCACATTATGATGATTAAGTAAACCTTTTGTTTGGTTTGTTTTCCAGATGTGATTGATGATGAGGGGGAGACAGATCGACCTGTGTCCTCGCCATTTAAATCTGATGCTGTAGATGGGTATCGGGACAGAAATACAGATCACTCCCAATATAGGGGGTCAGACTCCAACGGTAGATTAGACCCAGTCATCCATATCTCCAACAAGTACGAGGAACTCATCCGTCAGCAACTCACAATGACACAGTCCATCAATAATCTTGACATGGAAGCCAAGATGGCTGCAAAACCAGAGCCTCAGGATGACAATGACTTTACTACCACTGGGCGGCAAAGCCCACTAGGAGACAATGCAGCTGAATCATTCCAAGATGGTGGAGCTAATTTATATAATAATGATCAGCTGAATTCTGTGAAAGGAAGTTTGGATGCCTCTGTGATAGAGGATGAGGTGGAGCGCTCCAGCATACCACCATCTCACCACTCATCTTTTGAAAATAAGTCTGCAGGAAGTCCCTCACGACAGACACCATCAAATGTTTATGGCGGTGAAGATCGTAGGTCACCCTTAAAGTCAGATGAACCTGCCCTTAATGGATCAGGTAAACATACACCAATTGATGATGTAATCAACAACTTCTTTACTGAACAGAGGTCTGGGTCTGTACACTCTCACTCTGACTTGACAAGACATACACCTCAGGAAGAAGTAGCTATAAAGGATGTGCTGACCAGACAACTGACGCCTACACGCTCCCCTGTCAACTCCTATTATGGGTCGGACAAGCAGAGTCCAACCTTTGTTGGTGATGTATTGGGGCAGTCTACACCCATAGCAATGTTGGACAATCCTGGGTCCCAGTCAGGCTCAGCCAGACAGACACCTGTAAAATCCACTCATTCGTCAGCAAGACAGACACCTCAACCAGGTGAGGATGTGATCAGAAAAACTAGTCAGGATGTCCTCAATGGCTCACCAACTCCTGGCAGTTATCATGGATCTGTTCCTGGAAATTACCATGGTTCCGCTACAGGAAGTCCTGCACCTGCCAGTTACCATGGTTCTGCTGCAGAAAGTCCGGCACCTGCCAGTTACCATGGCTCTGCAATAGGAAGTCCTAAACCTGGCAGTTACCATGGTTCTGCTACAGGAAGTCCAGCACTTGCTAGTTTCCATGGTTCTGCAACAGGAAGTCCAGCACTTGCTAGTTTCCATGGTTCTGCTACGGGAAGTCCAACACCTGCTACTTTCCATGGTTCTGCTACAGGAAGTCCAGCACCTGCTAGTTTCCATGGTTCTGCTACAGGAAGTCCAGCACTTGCTAGTTTCCATGGTTCTGCAACAGGAAGTCCAGCACCTGCTAGTTTCCATGGTTCTGCTGGCGAGAGTCCTGTCCCTGGGAGCTACCATGGCCCTGGGAGCTATCAGGGTTCTCTTAAAGGAAGTCAAGAGCAGGGTAGTATCCATGGCTCTGCCGCTGGAAGTCCACGAAGTTACCATGGAAGCCAAGGCTCTGGAAGTCGTCCTCAAAGTCTTACCAGTGAGCAGGAGCTTTCACAGTATTTCTCTGACAGAAGTGACTCTAGGCGAACTCCCACTGCCCAGCAGCAACAGATACCTGCCACCTCCCCAATAACTTCAGGTGTCAGGCCAGGGTCAGATAGGGGTGAAAGGTCAGCAAGTGCAGCTAGCCTACCTGTGATGAACACACAGCAGAGGTTGCAAGCAGAGAAACGCAGCATGACCCCAGACAACCACATTCGAGTACCTGGCTCCCCAGGGGCCCGAATGTCACCCCTGGCTACGGGATCAGCCCTAAGGTCAGGAGCCTCTTCAAGGTCAAGTACTCGCACTATCACACCAACCTCTGCTGCGAACAGTTACCATGTCAATGGGGAACAGGAAGTAAGTTGATGTTTAGTCATTGTATGACATGATAAGCAAGATCAAATTAACATCTTAATATGTACGGTATATGCTCAAACATAGTAACATAGTATAAGATGCAATGATTTTCATGCTGTTTTGTATTTTTGAAGAAATTCCGGAATGTAATCAAAACAGCATTCTTGTATGCAAACCTCATAAGATTGCAAAAATGGTATTGTACTGAAGATTAATTATCAACGGTATGGAAAATATTAATATAAAACATTACATAAAAGATACACAGGCTATAAAAGTAGGGGATTAATAATTGACGATGATAATTACAGGCGTGTGTACTGGATGAATAAATAGCCTTCATTGTAGGAGGTTACATTACCTATTTAAACAGTACCGTACTATTACAGACCGGTCTAATGGGTGAATAGCTACTCTAACAAAACTGATTACCCTCAGTGTTTGAACATAAACTTGCATGTCAAGTATCACACTCGGTAAAGTGTACATATAGTTTTCGTTTCGGGGATTGATTTTGTTTGGGTATGTACCCACGCACAATTTCAGTAATATGTGTCCACATTGACAAACGGTCCATTGTTAGTACAAATATTTATTTAAATGGTTTACCCCCATTTCACAACAATAGATCTGAATTTCTATTGATTTGGGTCATTCTAAATAGGTTTACAGGGATAAAAGGATTAGGGTACCATGAACAGTTACTCTTTCATGGTCCTGAACGAATGTGTCAAAACATGACACAAATTGAAGGGCGTTGGATGCATTGTTTTTGGCTGTAGCGCGCTAAACATGTTCAGTTCAAATGGACCCTAGGAGATAACAGTATGTAGTGTTTTCTATACAACGCTAGCATGGTTAGCTAGTGTTCCTGTGGGAATGGATGTTTGTGTCTAACTATTTTTAAAGATGAAGTATATGGTATGTATCATTTTAAACAAATCTTTTTTCCCCCTTTTATTTTTAGCCTTTTTTAATGTTTTTACCTATCAGACAGAGGTCTGGAATATTTTCATATTACAGATTTAAAATTGTTGGAAATGTGTAATATTTATTTTTCAAAAAGAGATTGAATTAATTTTCAAGAACCTGATGGAATCGTCAGTCCATCTTGAATGGATAGTACTAGTACTAACTGTAATCATTATTATAAGCATATAACTTCAGCCAAATATAACTAATCTGTAAACAGGACCAAAGACAGGGTTGATATAGTATTGCTAAAATTATACTGTAAGATGGACAAGTGCCATCATTGTTTAATGATCCTATGGCCACTGCATTAGTTCTCATATATAACCTGCCATAATTCATGTCCATTTGTCTATATTGGAACATTAAGATAACTTAATTGATTTATTAAACTGCGTATACTTCAAAGATTGCAGACTTTAAAGACGATAGCTTATCTTAAGAAAGGACTGTTGTGAAATGTGTTTTTTTTAAAGTTATTCCTAGAGCTTCAGTGAATTTGCTAACATTAGTTGGAATCGGATCAATTGCATCTTATATTTTACTTTACTACATAAAGTAGCACAATTTATAACAAAATACGGGAGAACACCATGCAGTGCTGTGATTTGTGCATTTTCCCGTGATTTCATGACAGCATCCCATTACATGATGTTATTTAGCAAAGTCATATGAATTGATATGAGGCAATGGTAATAGGGTTAAAAAGTTTCTCCTTACTTATCTATCACCTTTGTCCCTTTAGGACATCCATGGCCGGAGGATTCAGGAGCTGGAGGACACTGTCCGAAACTTGCGAAAGTTGTTGGGCAGTCGTGAGATGGAGGTCAAAGAAGTGACAATCCAAGCAAGTGACCTCAAGGAGATGAACAACTCGCTCAAGGAGGAGTTGGAGCTGGCAAGGAATCGGGCGGCTCCAGGTAGCCGTGGAAACCTTGCTGAGGTAGGTCTACACAACATATGTTATAACATTTGAGAGATTTCACTAAAATATTAACTTGTGAAATATGAAAGCAATAAAATACATGCACAGTATCCTTATAAACACTGTTAGTCCACATTGGATGACTTCAAAGTTCTGTATGTCTCTGAATGAGTTATGGAACCCTTTAGGTCTTTTTTGAATAAGGAGTAATAAACAAATATATACCATTTGATGTTTGATCTATGACCCTTTTGATCCACTGGTAATTCTTCTTTGAATCCTGATATTTGATGCTGTACTTATTTGACCTTTATTTGACCTCAACCTTTGTTTCACAGTGGGAGAGGAAGTATAACCATCTCATGGATGAGAAAGAGATCCTGGCTGGAGAAGTGGTCAAACTGCGGGACCGTCTTGAGGAGATGGGTCAGACTGAGAACGGCGATGGTGATGGTATGGGACTAAGTAACTACAGTCCCAACAATCCCTATGCCCTCCAGAGGAAAATTGGTAAGTCCTATAGTTATTCATATGAACAAAAATCATTTTTTACCTAGATCTAGAGAATATCTCGTTCATTGCAGTTTATTTTTTTCTGTGTTGCTTATTGTTAGAAATGTAAACATATCAAGCTAACATACGGTTACTATGGTTACATCTAACATTGTAGAGGAGCTACAGAGCCATGTACAGGACCTTCAGGAGGCCAACGAGTCTGCCGTCGCCGAGCTCTCTAGTGTCGAGAAAAAGTGTAAGGACCTAGAGGCCGAAAATGAAAAGTTTGCTGCACTCAAGGACACAAATCTAGTAGATTTGCAAGCAGAGAATCGCAGACTACATGACAAGGTAAATAAAAATGAATGTAATATTTTAGGAGGAATCATGGGAATCGTATAAAAAACAAAAATGATAATATTTTCGTGATATATTTCCTAGAAGCATTGCCATTTAGTAATCCGGTCGTCTGGTCTGATATTACATGTCTGTTGGACTACGATTAGTCAGGACTTCTAGAGAAGACAACAAGTCACCAGACCTACAACTGATGATTAAAACTTCAAGTTAAAAGATTCCATTTCCTGATTTGGTTTCATTATTTTTTTCTTCAGATTTCTACATTATGGGAACAAGGGTATGGTGATGGGGACCGCCGACTCAGGGTCGAAGTTCAACAGTTTAAAGATGACAACCGTGCCCTCAAAGAACGTAACTATAAACTTCATGAAGAAAATCTTGCATTCAGGGAAGAGGTCACTCAAATTCGAAAGGTACTAGAAGGGGTGAGCCCAAAACAAGATGAGTCAAAATCACGTTACATTGATGACAGGCTCAGCCAATCAGAACACAAATTAAGGTATGCTGATGATCGACTTGGCCAACCAGAAATCACCAAATTACGTTATTCTGAAGATAGGTTGACCCAATCAGAACGGCTTCCTCTACCCAAGGAGAAGTTGCTGAGTCGAGAAGATCTGGACTTGACCTACAGGAAGGTAATGGAGGAGGATAGACATAGGGGTAGCTACGAAAAGGAAGACCGGTTTAGGAGAAGTTTAGAAAAAAGTGAGGGTTTGAAGAGTAGTCTGAAAAAGGATGACAGATTTTATAGATTGGAGAAAGAAGAACGATACAAAAGTGGTGTGGATAAAGAAGATAAATATAGATCGTTGTCAGAGAGAGAGCCATATAAGCTGAACAGTACGGAGGGCAAATCTAACGGACATTACAAGAGTACCAGTCACCAAGAGGATTCTAAATATAGGTACGATCCTCCTTTGGACAAACTTACACAGTATGAGCTATCTAGGTCAAGGTCAGATAAATATGACCCGGACTTTACAGAAAGGTCAAGATCAGAAGGTTACAGGTCAAGGCCAGATGGTGGCAGCACCTCTGGTGAGAAAGACAGTTCAGGTTTGACACAATATGACAAGCAAACAGCACCTGACAAACAAAGTTATAGTAACAGGGACAAGTCTGACCAACGAGACAGGAGTCTGAAAGACAGTTATTCTGTGGAAGGTCAGAAGTACTCTACGGGCACGGAATACCGAGCACTGACAACGTCTTACTCCGAACTACTCAAGCTGACACAGCAAAGCTCCTTAGGAGACAAACGGGGTAGGTGTCTAAACACATTTTTGTTTGGTTAGAAAATAATATTAAATATTGACTAGCAGCTATATTTGATTGAATAGCTCATTTATTAGTTCTGAATATAGAATCATCATTACAAGTTAATCAACAGGTTACCTAGGTGTAGCCAATAATAGAAAGCTAGAAAATAGTGATGTGCTAGGATCATGAATACATTGAGTATTCCTTTTCAGGAATATTATCTCTATGTAAAAGTGTATGTGTATATTGTGTTATGCCTATGAAGATGACTGACTACATATGTATATCTTGTTTATTTATATATCCATGGTATTGTATAGATAACCATTCATCAACTCCAGCACCAAATCAGTTCCATTATAAGAATTCTTTGGTTTGGCTTATAACTAACACTGTATTCTCCTTAGTGTCTAATGATCCCAACTAGAAGTATAGCTCAGACCTTCTCAGCAAGCTCATTACTTTGGTTCTAACAAGTTAAAAACAAAAGATATGCATATATATATATATATATTTCAGAAAATGTAAAATGCAGTCACAAAATTGGAAGAAATTTTTAATTCTAAAAGTGGATTCTGACATTATTATTAGTTTATTATAATGAAGTTACTTTTATTTTGAGGAAGAAAACTTTTGTCATTGCCAAAATGATCCTGATCGGTCCTGTATGTGTGATAATGCTTCACAGAGTAATATTGTCAGATTTAGTCTACTTCTACTTCCTGTAGCCCTCTCGTCCTTAAAACAGTTGTAGATCACCTTGCCACTGACTCCTGTACTGTTATTAGACATACAAACAGAAGTATTACATTTTAAAGGATTAAGAACTCTGGGAATATATAAGCCCTCCTCTGCAAAAATCACAATATCCTTGTTTTTAATGTGTATAATGTTTGTGGAATGCATTAAGTATATGTATTTGAGAATTTAGGGATTTAAAGGTCTATTCACCCCTTCATTTTCATACTAAGCTCTCCCATTCATACATTTAGACCAGTTTATTGTTAAAGGTAGGTGGATCAGTTGTAAGCTTTCAAATACTTTTTTTTATGGATATATTGATCTGAGACCACTAACAGCCACCCTAGCGACCCCTGACCTGGACTATAACAGGTGTATAGCAATGTCGTTTTTTCAGGCATCAATAAGTAACTGCTTTATAGAGGATGGTGCTGCTTTTCACGGCCTGAGTAACATTTGATGTGTGTGTGTTACCTATAAATATTTGATTTGTGCTGTCTGACACCATGGTGCTGGTATATTTGGTGTCGACTATTTCGCTATATGGCTGCTGTGTTGTATGGTGTAGGTCCTCGTACAACTGAAGTAGATTGTGGGGTTTAAGCAAACATTGTGGTTGTGTATTACTGTTATACCTGTTGGTATTTAGGTTTAAGGCGGAGGTGAACGTGTCCATTGCATGTTTGGGCATGGATACACCTGTATGTTTGTGAAAGAAATGTTTTGGAACTCTAACTATGTAAAGGCTGTGTCTGAACTCTAACTATGTAAAGGCCGTGTCTGTTGGCTACAGGGTTAATAATGTTGGGAAATATTTACTATACAAATCCCGACTCTGACTTTGTACTAAGAGGCTATTCCGTATATCCTCGCACGTTTGTAGAATGGTCACGATCTGAGGCCGATCTTCATGCTGCCCATGCTAGGGGGCGCTCCGAAGCAGATCTTCATGTGCACTCTAGAGGGCGCTCCAGAGATGCCCCAGAGCGGCGCTACTCTGGGTCGGTCCCGCAGGGCCGAGCTGCATCACCACCACCATCGAGTCACCATCACCATGTTTCACGACCTCGTAGCGCACAATTGCCACGTCCAGTGTATGGGTGGGATGGTAGGTCTAAATGTGCACACTGGTTTTTCTTCTAGCAATTTTTATACACTTACCCAGATATGTAACCACCTAGATTTGCTGTGTTGTTGGCGGGGTTGACCGGAGTGCTGATCACTGTTAGTGACTGGCCATGTTGTGTGCTTATTCCTTGCTATAAACTTTATATTTATACTGTCCAGTTGTATATCCTTTCCATTTAAATGGTAGATTGAACTTTTGACCTTTAAACCATGTAGGTCATTGTGTGCTTTCCCATATTTACATATATATATTATTATATACCCTTTGTCGTTTTCTGCTATATAAGCTTAATCCGCTATAAAGCCTAAACTGTTTACCATATTATGTGTATTTGTTCAGGTTTATCTTAATGTAATGTTACTAATTTAGAATCCTTGAGCTAAAAAATCAAATCAAATTTATGATACATGTATAACATTGTATACAGAGGTGTATTTTTGACTGCTGTGGTTGTATCAGGGATTCTGAATTTGTTGCTATATCTGTACTTGTAGCCCTTTCCCTAACTCTGTGTGGTGTGTGTGGGTAGATAGAAATCTCTACAAGTTCCTTTTAAGTAAAAATATATGTTGTTACACTGCATGCTTATTATATGAAATATCACAAGACTTATTTTTGCATTTATATCACAAGACATATATTTTTGCCAAATATACGTATATTTACATATGCTCTGCATTGCCACTATGTAAACCTTCTGAGACCATAACTCTGCTACGGTCATGTCATTAGTTGGAGATGCTGACACAAAATTATAAGCTGATTATTTCATTAAAAATGTATGTCTTACTACAAACACAGAAAGGCCCATTCATTTATAAATTTGTGTATGGTCCTATTACAAACTCAGAAAGGCCCATTCATTTATAAATTTGTGTATGGCCGTATTACAAACACAGAAAGGCCCATTCATTTATAAATTTGTGTATGGTCATATTACAAACTCAGAAAGGTCCATTCATTTATAAATTTGTGTATGGTCGTAGTACAAACTCAGAAAGGCCCATTCATTTATAAATTTGTGTATGGCCGTATTACAAACTCAAAAAGGCCCATTCATCTGCGATCTTCATCAACATGTACATACCATGAACTGTAGGTGGGGAAATCTGTGGGACTTTGGTGATGGATTGGAGTATCAAGCTTGGTTGTGTATGGAATATGCTCATATCTTATTTGAATATGTTATGATCATCATAATAGATGTTAGGTTTTAGGATTGTTAATGAAAACATTCAATGATCTTTTTGGTACGCCACAGCTACAGTAAAACCTGACTTTATGGACGTCGTGTAATATCATATCTTCGTGTCTGGCTCCAATAGTCTGGTTTCCTTGTCTTTGTGATGTAGTGAATGAAATTTCACTAAAAATTACAAACTCTGATTTGTTTTGTTTCCACACATACCATAGCAAAGATTCAAGATTCATTAAAGAAAGTCATGGTTACATACACTTACTGCTATATGGTGATATGTAGTTTGGTGGTGTGACTATTTACATACACTTACTGCTATATGATGATATGTAGTTTGGTAGTGTGACTATTTACACAGAGACTGGAATGTATTTGGGTGGTGGAATTATTCACTGGGAAAGGTTTAACATGTTTATTTGTTATTGTTGGGTTTTTAATTGTGTTTAACAATAACAATTTATCATACTATAATATTTGTCTTTTGTGACAAATAATTTCTTTATTTCCACACTTAAGCCAGCCAATCAGAGAACATATATAAAGTGAAAAATATCAGACATTGGGCTTTGTTATTGTTTATGTCAACAGCCGTAACGTTATCTTATACAGCATCCTTCTCATCAACACTTTATGGTGGAAGAATGGACGATCTATTCAAGGATGCCTTTATTTATATAAAGAAAAAAGGAAAATTATATTCTTGGTTTTTGGATGAAAACAGTTATATTTCACAATAGAGGTGAACTTTAATGTGCTATGCAATCTTAAAGAGGTATCAAAATATTGATCACACTTGCCAACTTTAACTGTTACTCATTAAGAAACCAAAAATGTCCTCCTTATACAAGGAGTTTGGGAATTTTTCAAGAAATATTGTTTTGCTGTCATAGGTACAGCCCAGTCTGTGTATGGAGCATGTGATTATATACTAATGTAGGTAATCCTATATGTAATGATTAGTATGCTGCATGCTAAACTCCGGAGCTTACAGTTTGTACCTCCAGCACATAGTCAAATGCATGTTGATTTGGCATTGTTGGTAAAAATGTAAAAACAAAATCTTCTTTTTCCGTTAATATTTTTTTTTATCAATAGATTTTATCGAAATTGAATTTAACATTAAATAATATTTGTGACGTGATCAAATACTGATGGAATGGAAAAAAATATGAATTGGTTACAAATCATAAATAACATCATGATAGCATATGTTTGACATAATTACAGGTTTACATGATCTTATTAGGAACAGAAATTACAATGCAATGTACATGTATGATAAAGTGGACGACTGCTCAGATGATCAGGTTCAGCCATCCTAGATTGTTGATGGACTGTTGTGTAAAGGTCTACAGCAGATAGAAACGTGGGTGATGACCTTAGTGTCAATACAGTGAAACATTCACGTATTCTGTACTACTCATTCTTATTCAAAAATAGGTAGATGTTTTGGAGTAATTTAAACATTTCAATTTGTTATTATTGTGATGTGCACATCTAGAATCTTAGCTCGACCACACTGTCCATAGATGTGTGTTGTTCTAAACATACTTTTTTTTATCTCCTTTTGAACAAAATATCTTGTTTACATTTTAATATGTTTTTAACTGCTTTTTATATAAAGTGCTAATTGGCATTATTGGCTGTGACTTTGATGTTGATAAACTATTTTTTGACAGATGAACTCCACAGACGAACAAATTCCGAGCGTAGCGACTCGACCGCTGTGCTGACTGCTGGGTTCCCAAGGTCTGATGTAGGACCACCCCCTCAGTACCGATCTAAAGACAGCTACGACCGGAGGGAGACAGATAGAGGTAAGATACAGGGGGAAGGGGAGGGAAACATTACAGGGTGTATCTGTCACATTAAAGTCATATAAAATGATCTATTAGTCTAAAAAATGTACAAGGGGAGAGAGGACGAAAACAAAAACAGTACGGGGTGTATATGTCACGTTAAAGTCATATTAAATTACCAATCAGTCTAAAATATGATGGAGGTAGGTACGAGGGGAGGAAAACAAAAACAGTACGGGGTGTATATGCCACATTAAAGTCATATTAAATGACCAATCAGTCTAAAATATGATGGAGGTAGGTACGAGGGGAGGAAAACAAAAACAGTACGGGGTGTATATGCCACGTTAAAGTCATATTAAATGACCAATCAGTCTAAAATATGATGGAGGTAGGTACAAGGGCATTGGAAGGAGACGAAAAAAACATTACATTTAAGTCATATTTCATGACCTATCAGTCTAAAAAATAAAAGCTCAAAGTGAAAGATGTAAAACGTCGGAAGCAATTTTAAGTTGTATGTACTGCCAATGTAAGACATGAGGAGGAACCAGACTTTGATGTCAGTTCTTCAGGATAAATACACTTCAAACATGTTTTATAGTCCGGGTGATAGCTGCACTGAGCAGTCCAAACATGTTGACCGAATAAAGCACACAAACTGTTCTAAAGGGTTGTGAATCCTTTAGTGGGTAGTTACTGTGATATAGTACAAAGGTATATGAGGACAAGTGAGGCCAATTCAAAGGTGACACTAGGTCTGGTCACAAAGACACTATGTCAGGTGAAATGATTGTTGCATTTTCTAGTTAAATATTTTACCATCGATTATTTGATACAGAAATGAATGCACCCTTGTGTGGTACATACAATACAAACATTAATGCTGCCCATTTGTGTGTTCAAATGTCAGGCTGTTCCACGCCATGACAACTGTTGTGAATTTCTCAGGCCCAGGACTACTTACTTTATAATTTATATGCATTACATACCAGGTATCTGTAATGTATAGTACAGTTCCATACTGTTGGTGCAGGATTCATTGTGTGTCGTTCATTTGTATTGACGGGGAACCAGACACATTGGTATAGTGTTGACACAGCTTTTGTCAAACAAGGATCTACTTCAGATTTGTGAATATTACATTTGTATACTACGGTATTCTAGTACGCTTGGTGATATTACAATGTTAAGATATTTATGGACAGGAAAATGTTTTAAGCATTGAGATTATATGCTGATATAAAGTGCCTAATAAATTTATAACTAGAAGCAGACAACATACAGGATTAATATAGCACTGTTCCATATCTGGACAACAGATTCACACAATATACTGTTGTAGATCAGCTTAAATTTTCAAGTGCACACCAATACAAGCAAATCATAGATAAAAGATTTGTCACCTTGTTTACTGGTAACTGTTTCAGTGATAGCATTAGACCTTGTTTACTGGTAACTGTTTCAGTGATTTTATTAGACCTTGTTTACTGGTAACTGTTTCAGTGATAGCATTAGACCATTCAAATGTGGGGGACTAAGCAAGTGAATAATTTGGTTACAAATAGAAATGAGAGAAAAAAAGTGAATCAATTAATTTGGATCCCATGCAGATTTGTTGCTTATTTTGATAATTAATTAAACATTACCCCAAAAGGGGGAATGACTGGACTGCATAGCAGTCAAGTGTTACACCTACTGAGTAAAACAGAAACTACCTCTAGCTTAGATACTGAACAATTTTTAAGAGAATATTTGAAGTTTCTTTATGACTTCCTTCAGATTACACTGTGTTGAGGAAGAAAACCTACGCTGATGACAAAGCTGACGAGAGTGACACAGGAACAGATATCCTCGTAAACGCTCAGCCATTTGACAAACAGATGGCACCACCATCACCACAAAGATCTGAACTACACCGGCGCCACAACTCCTCTACTCACCGTAGACATCGTCGGAGACACGACTCACTAGGCTCGGAAGGATCCGACTCCTCTGCCAACGACATTGATGAACAGATCACGAGTCTGAGGCGGAGGTCAAAATCTGCAGATGGACGAGGTAGGTGATCAAAGTATATGGTTGGTGCATTATAGTAGTTATTGTGTAGTCTGCTGAGGACATTGACAGTGGGGACATATGTATCATCAAGCAGTGAAGGCACTATGGTTGTATAGTGTTGTCGGGGAATACACTAAAGCCAAAGATAAGAAACTGTTTTGTCCTCAGAAAACACTACAGAATTCAGTGATAGCTGGTCTCATTACATTACATTATCCAAGTTATATTAATATCTGAGCATGCATGTACCTTGGGTAGTTATCTAGTTAATACAGAGTTATCCAATTAATACCCATGATGTATAAACTTATTTTCAGATGTTTTGATTTGGTTATACACATTTGAGTTTTAATCGTAAGGGTTTTCGTTTATTTTTTAGAACAATATGTGAATTTAACCATGTTGACAATATGTTGACTAAACTGACTTTACAAAGCTATCTCACTTAAATGTCCTGTGGTATAACTATCATGGTGCCCTTTATTACTGGATTCTGGCTTTTACCCTTTTACCACTGTGGACCACAATGGACTCATCCAGATCAAAACATGGTAGAGTTTACTAAATATATTTAGGGGTGAAAGGGTTCAGGACAAATATCCTTCATGTGAAAATTTATGAACGTCCTAGTGGTGTTAGTCTAGATTTTGATATTATATTTACGTATGTAACTTTTCTAGAGCTACGGAAAAGGTCTGCACCCCCAGGAAGTCTGGGGCGGTCCCATCCTTCAGCCCCGACTAAGAGTGGTGACAGGCCAACCTTCAGCAAGACATGTCCTCTGACTGGGTCAGCAGGGTTCAGGTCAATCACACCAGGGGTAATACCTACCCAACACAATAAGAACATGCTGTCAGCATCCTCCAGGTAAGTCTGTCTGCTTGTCTAGGTAGGCTCTGGGTACAGCTAGTTAACGCCAGTCTGTTATAAAACACTGAGGTAACAACATCTAGTGGGTGAAGTGTACACTTGTGTTATCTACTGTAGTGGTGACTTTTGGTGTAGGGCCAGTATCCTCTAAAACTAAACTTAACATGGCATGAATACATTATATAACTGTAATTAAATGTTTTATTCATTAAGATGATTTTTTTTTTTAAATGAATCAGACAGATTTATACAAAGACATGTAATCTTGTGTAAAATATATAATCAGGAATATGTATAGCAGTGTAAGCTATAATGAGCGGTGAAGTCTTACCAAGAAATAAAATTCATTCGTTCTACATTTAGAGATAAAATGGCCTCAATTACCTGTAAATATAACTACCTGATCATACCATCACAGAGTTTAAGAGAAAGAGGGACCAGTGTCATTTGATCTCAAGTTTGCATTGAAATCAAAATCAAAATTAATTCTCTATTCTCTTTTCAAAAAACAAAACTTAATATTTAATTTTAGATCGCAGACGTATTCTGATAAGTTGTAATAATTTTCTGGCTGGACCAGGGTGGGGAGAGTCTGACCTAACTGTATGTTTTATATAATGCTACTGTGGGTGTCCAATGCTCGGTGTAATAACGGAGTGATCATTAATGTTTTCAGAGAGTCAGTACCGTTTATGCATCAAACCTACTACAGAAGGTTGGTGATCGCCTCTGTGTGAGAGTAGTGTCCCTTTGTTGTGATTCTATCACTGTGTGAGAGTAGTGTCCCTTTGTTGTGATTCTATGTGTTGCACAGAATGACATTAATGTTGTCAGCACAAAGTTTAATGCAAAACTATCAGGTTTTCAAGTTTACATATTCTCTACATTAAAACAATCCTTGAACATCAATTCCTGTATCATTACTAAAACAGTTTTAAATCATTTTCATGTTATGTATCAAATTTCCATGCAAGCACGCTTTAGGCTTTCTAGAAGAGTGACCTTTTCCTTTTTCATATTCACAATTATTCATTAGATTTTTTTAATATATTGAAAATCACTTGTTGTGGCTCATTGTCACACATTTGATATTGATCAGCATGTAAGGTACCTTGTGGTAATATGTCAGCTTGATCAGCATGTAAGGTACCTTGTGGTAATATGTCAGTTTGATCAGCATGTAAGGTACCTTGTGGTAATATGTCAGCTTGATCAGCATGTAAGGTACCTTGTGGTAATATGTCAGCTTGCCTAGAAATGATTGGTCCCCCTATTTAAATGTGATACATACAGCTTAGTCTTGATAACACTGTGATCAATCCTCCATCTGATCCTTGCTGCCTGAGTGTCGCTTTATCAGTACATATTAACCAGTGTTTATCAAATCCTGTATAATCCAGAAACTTGTATAAACCAGACCCTGCATAAACAAGAAACCGAGATAATCTTGTGTAATATGTATGTAAAACTATTTATAGATAGTGGTCAGATTGGTGTCGGCACACCAGTCATACTGCATGGCTGCATAATGTTTTTGTTGGCTTGGATAAAAAAAATTTTTTTTTTTTTTTTTCAAAAAATTTTGATAAAAAATAAATGAACTGTTATGATATTGACCGCAAAATTCCTGTAACTTTTATGCTATGAACATAAAGAATGGAAATTTATTTTCTGTCATTGTAGTAAGGGTATATTTTTCAAAATATTTTGATAAAAAATAAATGAACTGTTATGATATTGACCGCAAAATTCCTGTAACTTTTATGCTATGAACATAGAGAATGGAAATTTATTTTCTGTCATTGTAGTAAGGGTATTTTAAGTAGTACATTTCATTATTATTTATTATTATAACAACTGTTTATGCATTAATTTTCCGCAGTGTCCAAACTATGGCAGTGAGCTATGCATTACATACACATGTGTTACACAATAAGTAGGAATATTTTTTTTTAATATTAGAAAAAAACCCACATAATTTGTTATGACCTACTTTCAGTGGCCTTTCTGCTCCAAGCACAGACAATCTTCTGTACGATGAAGCTTATATAGAACTTCTCAAGAGCGCATTTGGTTGTGACCATGACAAAATGGCTGCACCTGGGTACTTGTTTGTTACGATGTTGTGGAAGTGTTCCGTCATTCTTAGCTTTATCTGTCCAATAATTTGCTTGCTTTTTGTGGTATATGGGTTTTAACTCGCTAATTTATGCTAGAATGTGACGTTACCTTCTGTAATTAAACATTAAAACCACCGACTCTTCTCTACCTATAGTTGTTGTTGTTGGTTGATGTTGTAATACAATGTCGCAATTTTTGTGTCAATTCTAATATTGTCTCTACATAAGTTAAAACTCCCAAAGTTTCCCCCAATTAAATTAAAGTTAATACATTTTTAAAATTTAAGATCTTTCGTGACATACAAAACAAATTTTGTATACCTTATTTTGAGATTTGTATCTATTACATCTTTTATGTTAGTTGTATTATATAAATGAAAATGAAAATCTCTAAATATAATCACATGTTCCAAGGCAAACGGTATATGGTTACATAACCTCAATTTTTGAAGCTGACATACCTTTTCTTTGAACATAGGTGGAAAAAGGTCGAAGGTTGAATAACAAGCATGATAACAGAAAGCATGCATATATACTGATTTTCTGGCATATAATGATATATATCAGCATTGGTTTTTCATGATCTTTTTTTTATCATGTGGAGTGGTTTCAGACATGGCGTGGAATCTTCCTAAAACAACTAGCCACATTAACTTTATTGATCTGAGTCTTAGAATAGTTCCATGAAATGATAACAGGTTGATGGCTAAAATTCAACTTTTCTACAAATGCAGTGTAGAATTATGTTTATATTTATTGAGGTGATTCAGTTTATAAGTTATCATAAATAGTAAAAATATCCAACATGATTCAGTATAGATGTATGGATGAACAGAAATCTCTTAATTTAGGTTCATCAAGTTCAGCTTGTATAATTGGGTCTCATAAAATAAGTTTGTTCCGATAATGAGGACATTGTGTTTTCCATACATGGAAAGCTGAAACATTGAAACTTTAGGGTTTTGTTTTCTTCCATATTGTTATCCTGATACACTAAAGTGTTCAGACTTACAAAATTACACTTTGTTGTACACATGTTATATACCTGATGCTAAAAAGAAAAAAAGACATTAAATATTTAGTGTTGATATTTCTGTTCGGTGGATCTGTTTGTATTTCTCACTGTTAATGGTGGTTGTTTACAGTTCCCTGGTGACATTAACGACAGGGTTACGCCCCTTTTCTCCACGCACCCCTGGTGATATCCACTTGGAAGATGTTGTGAAGTTCTCCCGACAGGGAGGTAAACTTAGTCAAGGGACAGTCAAGTTTGTGGGTCACCTGCCTGGACGTAATGATGTTTACCTTGGAGTGGAACTAGACAAGGAAGGTAGGTGAAGAACTCGGACAGAAATGTGAGTGGAACGATGGCAGAGGAGATAAGTAAAGGTTACTGGGACAGAAACAGAAATGTGAGAGTGGAAGGATGGCAGGGGAGGTAAGTAAAGGTTTCTGGGATAGAAATGTGAATGTAGACAGATGGCAGGGGAGATAAGTTAAGGTTACTGGGACACAAATATAAATGTGGACGGATGGAAGGGGAGATAAGTAAAGGTTACTGGGACAGCAACAGAAATGTGAGAGTGGAATGATGGCAGGGGAGATAAGTAAAGGTTACTGGGACAGAAACAGAAAGGTGAGAGTGGAAGGATGGCAGGGGAGATAGTAAAGGTTACTGGGAGAAAAGCCGAAATGTGAGAGTGGAAAGATGGCAGGGGAGATAGTAAAGGTTGCTGGGACAGAAATATAAATGTGGAAGGATGGCAGGGGAGGTAAGTAAAGGTTTCTGGGATAGAAATGTGAATGTAGACAGATGGCAGGGGAGATAAGTTAAGGTTACTGGGACACAAATATAAATGTGGACGGATGGAAGGGGAGATAAGTAAAGGTTACTGGGACAGAAACAGAAATGTGAGAGTGGAAGGATGGCAGGGGAGATAAGTAAAGGTTACTGGGACAAAAGCCAAAATGTGAGAGTGGAAGGATGGCAGGGGAGGTAAGTAAAGGTTACTGGGACAGAAACAGAAATGTGACAGTGGAAAGATGGCAGGGGAGATAAGTAAAGGTTACTGGGACAAAAGCCGAAATGTGAGAGCGGAAAGATGGCAGGGGAGGTAAGTAAAGGTTTCTGGGATAGAAATATGAATGTGGACGGATGGCAGGGGAGATAAGTCAAGGTTACTGGGACAGAAACAGAAATGTGAGAGTGAAAGGATGGCAGTGGAGAAAGGTAAAGGTTACTGGGATAGAAATGTGAATGTGGAAGGATGGCAGGGGAGATAAGTAAAGGTTACTGGGATAGAAATGTGAATGAGGACGGATGGCAGGGGAGGTAAGTAAAGGTTACTGGGATAGAAATGTGAATGAGGACGGATGCCAGGGGAGGTAAGTAAAGGTTACTGGGATAGAAATATGAATGTGGACGAATGGCAGGGGAGATAAGTAAAGGTTACTGGGACAGAAACACAAATGTCAGAGTGAAAGGATGGCAGTGGAGAAAGGTAAAGGTTACTGGGATAGAAATGTGAATGTGGACGAATGGCAGGGGAGATAAGTAAAGGTTACTGGGACAGAAATATAAATGTAGACAGATGGCAGGGGAGATAAGTTAAGGTTACTGGGACAGAAACAGAAATGTGAATGTGGACAGATGGCAGATAAGTGAAGGTTACTATACAGAAATATGAGTGTGGAAGGACAGCAAGGGCAATAGCTTGAGGAATGATGATTGAGGCAAGTAGAGAATGAAGAAGAAGGGAGAGTAAATAGGAAGGAGGTATAGATACCACAGAGAGGGGTGTAGGATGGATGTGATAGTAGAAACAGAAGGGAAGAGAGGGGTATAGAGAGAGGTATAGACTGAGTCCAGCAGAGAATAGCAATATGGATGTGGTAGAGGAGAGAGAGAAACAGAGGGATTAGGCATGGAGAAAGAAAGAGAGAAGTGCAAAATGGAGACAATTCTCTTAATCTGGTAGAAAAAGAAAAAAAAAATGTAATGTTGATACAGTTTCTTTTATTGTCATTCAGTTTTCCAGTGCTTAATGTGATTTTGTTTTATTTCAGAGGGAAAGCATGATGGCACCTTTGAGAGTGCTCGTTACTTTAAGTGGTAAGTTTCCTGTTAAAAAAAATCTGGGTAAATCATAATTCGATTTTGTAACAGAGTACAGAAAATAGGTATTTGTTTGTCTTGAAGGGTTTATATTAAGGAATCAAATAATATAATATAATAATAATCTTTATTTAACGTCGTGTACAATTGTCAACAACAAACATTAGCTCTGTAGAGCTTTTATTACGACGCCGCTAAGGGAACAAATTATATTTTTCGTGGTGGAGGAAAACCCACGGGGAAAACCACTGTACCATCGGAAGGATACCAACTAACTCCATCATACTTCACTCTCTTTTTCCGTCACCGCATGGGATCGAACCAAACTTTTTAGGAAAGAGAGTGGTCGGAATCTTATGCTTGATTGCTTGATTAGCGATCACAGCTACAGAGGCATCCATTAACCCTTTCACCACTGTAGACCATAATGGACTCATCCAGATCAATATATGGTAGAGTCTACTAGTGTTACATAGGGGTGAAAGGGTTAAGGAAACAAAGAACACATTGTACAGTAAATCTTTTCTGGAAATTTTTGTTGTTGTAAAAGTCCTTACTGTAATTCTCCATATTTCCTCTCTATCAATTCTGTAAGAAGGCAACGTTATATAAAGAATGTCAATTACCGTAAAGGATCATTTTATTTTACAATTCAACTAAAAGTATCATGTCTCATGTTTACAGCAAACCCAACAAAGGAGTGTTTGTAGCCTTCAACAAAGTGGTCATGGCCTGGGCACCCTAGTGGTCAGTGGGCACCCTAGTGGTCAGTGGGCACTCAAGTCTGTAGTGGTCAGTGGGCACTCAAGTCTGTAGTGGTCAGTGGGCACTAAAGTCTGTAGTGGTCAGTGGGCACGCAAGTCTGTAGGGGTCAGTGGGCACTCAAGTCTGGAGTGGTCAGTGGGCACTCAAGTCTGGAGTGGGCAGTGGGCACTCAAGGCTGTAGTGGTCAGTGGGCACTCAAGTCTGGAGTGGTCAGTGGGCACTCAAGTCTGGAGTGGGCAGTGGGCACTCAAGGCGGTAGGGGTCAGTGGGCACTCAAGTCTGGAGTGGGCAGTGGGCACTCAAGGCTGTAGTGGTCAGTGGGCACTAAAGTCTGTAGTGGTCAGTGGGCACGCAAGTCTGTAGCGGTCAGTGGGCACCCAAGTCTGTAGCGGTCAGTGGGCACTCAAGTCAGTAGCGGTCAGTGGGCACCCAAGTCTGTAGCGGTCAGTGGGCACCCAAGTCTGTAGCGGTCAGTGGAGTTTGAGGATGTTCAATTTAACATCTATTAGACGGTGACTCAGTGTCTTGACAAGAGGACCAAGCTGGACTCTTCAACTCCTGCTTTGTTTACAAGATATACAGAGAATTAGAATTGTTAGTTTATCCAGTCACATAAATAACTATAATGACAAACCAGGAACCGTAGTTAAGTGAGCAACTGAACAGGGAACACACATAATGACAATAGTTACCATGGTGACCAACTAAATAGATTACACAATCAACAAAAGTTACCATGGCGACCGACTAAATAGATTACAAAATTAACTATAGTTACCATGGTGACCAACCAAAGATGGAACACAAAAGAAAAAGTAATTATGGTGACTGACTGAATAGGGAACATGCATTACAAATGCTACCATGGTGACCAACAAAATAGGAAATATTGCTCATGAATTGTAAACCGTAGTATTGTCAAAATGCAAATTTACATAATTAGTACATAATAAATGAGGTAAAATTATGTTTGTTGATGGCTATGTAAGATATAAACTCTCAGTATTTGTCAAATATGTAAAAAAAAAAAAGAAGGAAGAAGGTACTATTGACGAACTGAGAATAACACACGGAGATAACACGGGAGATTGGTTTGTTGAAAGAAAACAAAACAGAGAAACAAAATATATTGGCGTTGAAAGTAGAAATGTTTGGAAATATGGCATAGAGTCATTAATACCGATATTTATGGTTAATTTATTTTTCTCTCAAATTTGTATAGAGAGGCATGGAAGAAAGAATGAGTATATGTACGGCATGAGTGTGGAAAGGTATTACAGAAAGAATAAGAGTAAAAATGGATGGAACCAAAACAATCTTCAATGTCTAAAGCACCAAAGGACAAACACCAGTAAGGACCACTAAAACTGGGTTGACACCATACTTAATCCTGTAAGTTGAGCTTCATATCTGTGTTGAGCAGTTTAATTTTTAAATCAATTTGAGAACACAGCGGGACTCCACAGAATTTCGACATTTGAACTAGATGACCATGAAATAAACAAGTAAATTTAACTAATATTTTAAATGTCTAGGTCATGGTTGTATCAAAATAACGGAGAGTGATAGAATTGTGTTGAATTCCTACCAGTATGTGACAGGTCAGGTCAGCATTAATGTTGAGTTAGAGTCTGAATTCAAATTTTCATTCTTAATTATAAGAAAACTATAGTAATAGTATAAAACAGTAGTGCTTATATATTACAATAACTTGTTTGTGTGGTGTTGATAAAAGTAACATTTAAGTACAAATTTTATATCTAATTTAGTCTTATATTTAAATTAAATATTTAAATTGTTAGTTTAGTTTGACTATGAGAAAAACGTATATAACAAAGTAGAATTTTATAGTAGTAGAAATACCCTGCTCCTATATATAACGTGACTCAGTATTATTTTTATAAAAGTTTTTTTTCATTTAAAAGACTTTTAAGAATAATACTGGGTTGTACAATATATTCCACGAGAAGGAATTTCAGCTCGGCTGCAATCTGTGATAAGATTACCATGCAATATTGTGAGTGTACTGTTTTATATATTTGTATCGACATGTTTCACTGACCAAGCACATTGTGATATTGAACCGTTTACTTCAAAACCGAACCCTCCCTGTGTCACAGATTTCTCGTCAGCATTATCTCCCCTTGACTACCTGTCTTGGTTTGACTTGTATTACCAGGTGTAAAATAAATGGACCAGGAGGTTGTAATTCATTGCAACACAAAGTATTTTCTTTCGGGATGAGAGAGATTGATGACACAGGGAAGACTTGTGGTATATTGTTAGTGAATCGGTCAAAGTAGCTTGATGAGGTTTCCACACATTTTTTTTTTTATTCAAATGTTCATATTTATTATTATCATATTCATTCCAATCAACTCCAGTAAACATCATTCACGTTTTGGTGAAATGTCCCACACAATTCATTAGTCCTAATTCATCAGCGTATTTTATATTTTTTCCTATATTAGATAGTCTTAGAATGGTGATTGTTTATGAAGTTTGTGTAGTGTAGCAAATTAGTAACAAAATCAATTTATCACATTAGCAGTATTTTATGAAATTTATTGGAGACATTGAATCAAATAGTTTTAACACAGATATCTAGCTAATTGAATCAAACAGTTTTAACACAGATATTTCGCTAACTTGCAGTATCCAATATGGTATCTTAAAAGTCCTGGTTTAGAGATGGCATGTCAACCAATAAATATGGATCTTTGAAAAGTTATGGTTTTGAGAGAGGGTGTGGAGTGTAAAGGATTAAATGTGGATTTTTGTTAATATTATGATTTTTGACGAAGGGTGTGTTAAATGTTTAGTTTATGGATTTGGGAAGGAAATGTGTCCATGTGTTAATCTCTAAGGAACTTTAATTTGAGCATCTGTTTGTGATGGTGCTTCATTTTACCGTTGAATAGGTTTGTCCAGATAACTGTGTGTTATCATGAATCGTCCCTTATTTATGAGACTGTAACCTTTGCCAGTAACAGAAAACATGATCCCGTCTATCAAAACATGTTATGGTGAAAATGATAATCCTAGAAACAACGAAGAGAGTCTACACAATATATTGGTGTAGTACTCGGATAAATGAAGACTTACAAAGCATGACTCTTATTATTGAGACGTAAAACTATTGTTGATATTTTTTTTTAAGTATAATTGATGAGTTTTTTAATGCAGTTATATCAAACTCTCATTTAATTATTTGTAATTATTCATATCCCACCACCTCTGTCAATATCTAGGCACTTTTGTTCAAAGACTGGTTAGCTTAGTGAGAATGAAACACAATATTTACATCTTGTATCAATGTTCGTTAAACTATTGAAATTCAGAATTAAAATTACCTCAAGATTCAAGATAATTATATGAAAACCATTGATGCAGAAATATTCATAATTTCCAGGTATTTTGTTCAAAAAAGACATTTTGAAAAAATTTGTAGTAACAACTTGGTAAGCTAGGCAGGCTTTATAACACCTGGGCAGTGTTATATCACACCACTGGTTCACTCATCCAGTCAGTACCGTAGTTATCTGCAAGTAAGCCCCTACCCCTAGTGAAAAAACGATTGGCCAAATGTAGGAAGGGGGTAGTATTGACCCAATATCGTATGTGAAATTTTGAGCACAATGTTCTCTGCAGTAAGTTTACACAAGTGTTGCGCAGAAACAAGCAACAAAGAAAATGGCCAGTGACTTGATGAATTGTAACGGAGTAAATGATTGTATTTATTTGGTTTGGGAGACTTGTGACTAGGCTCTGTTTCTTCTTGCTGTCACAAGTCATCATATCAAGTCGGGTAAACTCCATTTCCGATAGAATTCTAGATTGTTGTATGATATTTATGTAAACAGCGCAAAGTGCTTTGAAGGGTTTGCCATCCTTGTACATTGTTGTCTCCCTTAGATTTCTGCTAGCTCACTTTTGTGTCACTCTCAAATTCCGTCCAAAAAGATATTATGTATAATAATTATCATTTAATCATAATATGATTTACTTATATTTATTGTAATTTATTGATTATATTGTTTAGATCAGAATTTCAATAATTATCTTATTGAGAAATGTCTGACTTAATTTAAAACTATGCATATCAAGTATTTATATACATTTTATCTGAACTATTGTATTTATATTTATGTATTCAACACCCGGTATTGTCTATACAAATGCTTTCTATCAACATTCCAGTGAAAACTTTCAGAATATCATAAACATGGGTGTATATCCCATATGCTCCACCCAGGAAATTGTCTTTCCTGATGTACCAGTGATATGCACAATTTCTTTATAACTCAAATTGTTTTCTTTCATTCCATTCTACAAAAATAAAAGTACATTGAGCTTTACCTTATTACTGAATATAAGTTTATGATTTATTTCTTTGTTTTAAATGTAATAATCCCTCCTCATTATGATAGTTAAATATTTACCAAACAAACTTTACCTGGGCCTCAATATCTCTCCTAGCACCTGTGCCAGAATTGTAACATCCTTTATGCCAAAGATCCATGGCAAAATTTGTGTTACAAAAGACAGTATCTTTCAATTTTCGCTAGCTTTTTGAAATGTAGGATTTTTTATCTGTAAAACATGTTTGTGTAATATTTTATAGATATTTACTTTTGTGAGGGTTGGGGATTATCTTTGTCTCCCTTGAAAAACAAAACTTTTTTTTATATGTAAATCACTTACCTGGTATAAGTAGATTGAGTCAGAAGTTTGATAAAAACATCTTTTCACATCTCTTTTGATTGATTGTCGTATAAGGTAATTTGCTATTACTTGTAAGTCATGAAGAGTCACCTTGTATAAGGATATACACACGTAAACATAGTGAGTCAAAAATGTCTTCTCATATTTATTGTTGTTGGTCTGACTGTTGTTAGTTAAGTTACTTTTATTTGTGGAGTTGGATCACCTTGTATAAGGATAATATAATAAGTTAGTTGTGTGTTTGTCCATGATTTCTTATTTAAATAACTAAAATATATTCTTTACTTTGGAGTAGACATTTCCAAAATTTGAAAAATGAAAACAAAAATACAAATTAGAAATATAGATCTCTTTTTTAATTTGTATCATAGGTGAACAATTTTTAGTTGGTCTCACTTTTTCTCTCTGATTGTCTCCCCTGATCTGTGATTACAGGTGAGTGACAAACATATC